GCAATAGTTACCATCTCTAATGTACTAGCAAAAGATAAATAATAATTTGAAGTTTTGAGTAGGATTTTTGATGGCATTAGAGTGCCACGTATTTAAAATAAATCACTTGATAAATTATGGACAGAAGGCAATGGATTAGTTTCAGGATCAAGATAAATCCAAGCTTGTCACAACATAAAGCAGATGACAGAACAGAATCTTGAAAAGAGTCTTACTTCTCCTTATTTAACACATTTAGTAAAGAGTGATGATTAATTGCAGATAGAAGACTTAAAAAGAGCATACCAAAGTCTAGACACATTGAAGTGCCACAAAATGAAAGTTAAGGGCACTGAGTCCTTAGTAAATGGCACACTGGGTCCGGACTTACGGACTGTCAACAGTGAGGAAGTTGCAAGCATTAATGTATATAGACTGGCATTGAAGTTGCAACAACCTTTCCAATTTTGAAAAGAATAGTACATGGAGGTGGAAAATATAGATGTTTATAAATCATAGGAACACATACACCACACGACAAAGTTAGCAGAGTTGTATCAATGAACTTGAATGAAGCTACAGAGGGCCTGCTTGTCAAATTTACTGATGACAAGAGGTCTGGAGAAATGACTAATGCTTTGGATAATAGGGTCAGCATTTAAGAAGATCTGGTTAAACCTCAAATTAATATGATTAAATTAATAATATGCATATATCATTTGGATATACTACTTATACACCCATCTTCACAAAGGCTTCTTTAACCATCTTTTTCTAATATGGCCTTCAGGATTCTCCACTCACCATCACTTCACCTGTTTGGTTTTCAACACAGCACTTACCCCTTTCTAATATTTTTGTTATGTAATTATTAGGTGATTTGTTTTCTTTCTAACTTCATTGGAAAGGAAAATGCATGAAAGTAGTAACCTTGATTAACTTGTAGTATCATTGAGAGTATAACAGGAGCACTAAATAAATATATGTCAAAAGATAAATGCTTATTTACTTATTTATTCCCTTCTCTTAAAAACAAATTTGGGGTCAAGATAGAGGCATAGGTAACCATGGCTCATCTCCTTGCATAACTATAGCAAAAAATTATACTAGATTCCATCAAATATCACCCAGAATCATCAGGAAATCAAGCTATATGGAAGTCCAATACCAAGGAATTAAAGAAGCCACATTCATCTAGAAGTAGGAGGGGTAGAAATGCAGAGATGTATGGAGAGGCATGGAGCTGTGGAACAGGCAGTCCCACACCAATGTGTGGTAGATAAAAATCAGTGGGAATATCTTGGGAGTGAGGGATCGCAGCCCAGCACCAGACCACCCAGCCCAGGTCTCCAGTGCCAGGAAGATAAGTCCCCATAACATTTGGCTGTAAAAACCAGTAGGGGTGGGGCCACAGACGAAACTGCAGGATTTTCAGAAGTATCCTCTTAAAGGGCTCACAGCAGACTTAGGACTTTTGCAGACTCGCTCTCTCTGGGATTCAGTACCAGGACAAGAGCTGGAAGGGCATCAATGGTATACGGGAAGAAATTAAAGTGACTGGCATCAGGGCAAGGGCTGGGAGACAGCTTCCTCCCACACAAAACTCCAAAGGTCAGGCAGTGGCATTGTCCCCTCTCTTAGCCTTCCCCCACACAGAGCCACAGACAACCTGACAACACAGGTTGCTCTGCCCTGGAGATTACCTAAGGTTCCATCCCATATAATTTACTGGTGTGCTTTTCTACAATAGGCCATGCTACTAAGGGAGTCACAGCAGCTCTCCCTAATACAGAGAAACAAACACAGGGAGGCTGCCAAAAATGAGGAGACAAAGAAATATGGCACAGATGAAACAATAGAACAAAACTCCATACATAAGAAAAACTAAATGAAATGGAGATATGCAATCTACCAGATGCAGAGTTCAAAATACTGATTATCAGGATGCTCGAGTAATCCATTGCATACTATAACAGCATAACAAAGACCAGGCAGAAATGAAAGTTACACTTAGTGAAATAAAGAAAAACATACAGGGAACAAACAGTGCAGGGGATGAAGCCAAGAATCAAATCAATGATTTGGAACATAAGGAAGAAAAAAAAATTCAATCAGAAGAGCAAGAAGAAAAAATAATAAAAAAAATTGAGAATAGACAAAGGAGCCTCTGGGACATCTTCAAATGTATGAATATTCAAATAATAGGGGTACTGGAAGGAGAAGAGGAAGAGCAAGAAATTGAATACTTATTTGAAAAAATAATGAAAGAAAACTTCTCTAATTTGGCAGAGAGATCAGATATACAAGTCTAGGAAGCACAGAGAGACTCAAACAAGTTCAACCCAAAGAAGACCACACCAAGACACATCATAATTAAAATGTCAAAAGTTAAAGAAAAAGAGAAAATCTTAAAAGCAGCAAGAGAAAAGGAGAGAGTTACCTACAAAGGAGTTCTCATAAGACTGGTAGCTGATCAAAAGAAACTTTGCTGGCTAGAAGGGTCTGGCAAGAATTATTCAAAGTGATGAAAAACAAGAATTTACAACCAAGATTACTCTATCCAGCAAAGCTATAATTTTGAATGGAAAGGCAGAAAAAGTGCTTCCCAGACAAGGTAAAGCTAAAGGAGTTCATCTTCATCAAGCTATTATTATATGAAATGTTAAAGGGACTGATTTAAGAAAAAGATCAAAAGTATGAATGTTAAAATGACAATAAATTCACAGCTATCAACAATTGAATCTAAAAAAAACAAACTAAGCAAATGAACAGAACAGAAACAGAATCATACATATGGGGATATTTGGACAGTTATCAGTTGGGAGGAAGAAGGGGATAAAAGGTGGGGAAGGTACAAGGATTAATAAGTACAAATTGGTAAGTACAAAGTAGACAGGGGGTGTTAAGGATGGTATAGAAAACAGAGTAGCCAAAGAACATATATGCACAAACCATGGTAATGAACTAAGGTGGGAGGGAAGTGCCAGAGGGAACAGGAGGTACTGTGTGGAGAGGGTGCAAAAGGAGGAAATTGAGACAACTGTAATAGCATAATCAATAAAGTATATTTAAAAAAACAAACTTGACTAGGAAAAATGGGTACATACAATAGTATTTATTATGAAAGATGACATCTGTAGAATAATAGATGCACCAAGCTGGGATAGAACTGGATGGCTTTGTGACTAGTCACTTGACCTTTGATAAATCATATAATTTCTTCAGGAACAGTTTTCTCATCTGTGAACAGGCCTAATAACAGCCCCCCCGCCGGAGGTTTTAAAGTGCACAAAATAATTTTGTAAACTCTAATGTACAAAACAAATGTGAAGAATTATGACTGAGGGTTGGGGTAGAAAGTGACTAAATGCTCAGTATGAATCCTCAATGTGTTGTGACTTTTGAAAAAATAATTAGGTACAAACATTGTTTGCATCTAAATAGTCGTTTTGTACTGGCAAGACCCACACCACGTTCTTGTATTTCCTCTTAGTTGCATGTTATGCAAGGTTATTGACAATTGTCTAAGGAAGATCAAGCAAATATAGGTTGTAGAGATAGTGCCATTTAAAAAAAATGGAAATAATTGGAGAAAAAGTGAATGCAAGGAGTATGGAAAGGGGAGGGAACTGTGGTGCTTATTTTGAATATGTGAAGAATTGTCTTGTGGAGGATTTATTCCATGTAGCACCAAGGTGCAATCTAGGAACTGGGGATTAAAGGCAAAAATGAAAAAAACAAAAAAACAAAACCCAAAAACAAATGTTGGTTTTAGACCTTGTTTCAATGTAAGGACCAGTTTTCTAAACTTTACAGCAGTCCTATAAGGGTGAAGATAATAAATTATGGTGGTTGCATCCAAATTAGGTAGGGACACATCAGCAATGTTATCAGAAGGCTTCTAATCTTTAGCTAAAGGTTAGCCTATGATTTCAAGGTCCTTCCCAGTCCAAATGCAATATTCCAAACACACTCATTGAGAATGAAAGGATCCTAAGCAAAACCCAGACAAATCCCAAAAGACTTAGAGACCAAATAAATTAATGAGAGAATGACAGGTGATATCAGTAATGAGTCAATGAGGAGAAAGACCAGTGGGGTGTGGTATTCACCAGAGAAGGAGCACTTCTGCTTATTTCACTCCATCCTGCAGAGAATCTGTTTCAGGCTGTTGGGTATGTCTCCTCTGCTTGACAACATTAACTAGGAGCACACTTATGACCCTTAGTGCCCTTTAAGGATTCGCTGCTGTATTTCATATGACATGCTGTTGTAAATACAAATTCCAACTAAATATATCTTATATAGGGTCTTATTCCCCAGCTCAGAGGATGGAGAGAGGAAGAGATGCCTTAAAGATGCAGCAACTGCTAAATTGGCAAAGCCAAACACAAATGTTAAAATACTTCTCTGAAATTACTTCTGCATAGTCCTGATGGAGGAACACAGTGGCTCCTCCCCATTACCTTTATATTTACATGAAGGAGACAAATGCATCAATAAACCCTGTGTTAATCATGTATTGACATGCGCGCTATGTCCACAGACCTACAGTATGTATGGTTTATACAAACTGCACGTGAGAAGTGGAGAAGAAAAAAGTAGAAACGAGGGAGATTGAACCCACAGAGAAACAGGTTAAAATAATTTTCATTACTTTTTTTTTCTCCTACTTCAGCTCTCCGTCAGCACGGGAGGAGGCTGTGGGCTGCAGACTCAGTGCTGGAATGAGGAGTAATTGAGCTTGAGCACAGACTGAGGTAGCGTCTCCTCCTCTCGGTGTCATTGCTGCAGCCTCTGAGTCCCAGGGTGCAAAACCGTTCGCAAAGACAGTGAATGCGCCGCAGAAGTTGCCCAGCATAGGACTCCGGAGGCATTGGCTCGATAACTTTTCACGTCATTTTCTGCTCTGGAGCCCCTTCTCGCCTCTCCACGCAGCCTTTCCCACCGCGACTCACCAGTGCTCATGGGGAAAGGGAAGAGCAGCTTGCAGCACTGAGCCGACTGGACTCTAGCCCGTGATGTCCGGCACAGATTTGGAGGACTCACCTCCTTGTTGCAACTTGTCATCTGCTTCGGAGCTGAATGAAACTCAAGAGCCCTCTTTGAACCCCACCGAGTACGATGAAGACGAGGAATTCCTGCAGTACCTGTGGAGGGACTACCTACACCCGAAAGATTATGAGTGGGTCCTGATCGCTGGGTACATCATCGTGTTTGTGGTGGCTCTCATTGGGAACGTCCTGGGTGAGTGTAGTCTGGAGAAGCCCTCCAGAGGGCTGTCACTTCCCCTTCGCCCCAGGCTGCAAAGGCTCGGAGACCCCTCCCTCGCGCTCGGACGCAAACAAAGAGGTCGCTGTTCTCGGGGTGGGGTTTTCTACTAAAAAAAAAAAGTTTTTGGTTTTTAGGAACCAGGACCAAGCCCTGGAATGGTGATTCCTTTTTTCTGCAGGGAGAAGCGGGGAACGGCGTTTCTTAGGCGACCACCTGGGTTACAAGTGCCAGCAGAGTGGCAGCGATGGGGATCTCCAGGTGGATTTTGAGTATGGGGAAATTAGTCATCCTTCTGTGTAACGTGGCTGGGTGTTTGGGGGTCTGGGGAGAAGTAAAGCTGGCAGAAAGCAAAGCTGTGCCTCTAAGGAGCAAGCTTGCTTCGGCTTTTGAAGTCACAAAGGATTTGCAGACGAAATAGAGTGCCCTTCGGCGCGGAGGTTTAGGCTCTGTCTAGAGGTGGTAATAAAAGGGTAGGGTGTAGAGACGGAGGAAAAGCAGGGGGTTCATTCATGCACTGTAGCTGATTTACACAGGAACCGTGCTGGGCTCAAGTAAGGAGAGGCATCTGAGAAAAGTGCCAAAAAGATGACAATCAATCACTCATTCATTCATCATTCATTCATTCATTCACTCGACCAACACGGCCCCACCCCCCACACCCCCACTACTGCCCCGGACGTTTGTTGCCACGCTTGGGAAATATTTGTAACTGATTTTTTCCCCCCAAAGATGAGACCAAGCTTAATGCTAGGCTCTCTCTATTTGTCTCTGTCTAGGTTTGAATGTAAACCTCCCCTCTCCCCACCTTTGCACAATTTCTGAGGTTTGGGGAGTAGGTGCAACGGTGATATGGTGGCTGAGGTGGTTGAGTTTATTAGGACAGCTGGGGAATACACTTAAAAAGCAGCTTTGCAAGGGACAGGAGGATTTAGCATGAATTGTGAGTGGAAGGAGCCACGTACCTGGATGAATGAAGAGTAGGAGGCGTTTCCTATGCAGAGGGCAGTGTGGAGGGAATCTCTGTTGAAAATAACAGGAGGAGATGGAACTGTAAAGGGGGGACGGACTAGGAGAAGATGCTTTTGATTTTCAATTATAAAAATGGAAGAAGAGGAGTAAGGTGAGAGGCTGAGAGGCTTTGAAGCCCAAAGCAGAGAATTTGTAGCTGCAGTGGAGGATAATAAGGAATTTATCAGGCTTTCATCACTCACCTCATTTTTACCTTCTCTCCCCAAGTATGTCAGTCTGGTCAGAAGGCACTGAAAGTCTCTCACTCATTCAACAAGTGGAGTAGTAGGTAGTATGTTGATGGACAGGTGTTCTGGGAAAGTTGGTAGAATAGTATGTGATAAGAAAAATAAGACTCCTCTGAGAACTTTAGTTTTGTTCTTCCTGTATTATTTTGGACTATTTTTGTTGGATTTTTGAAGATACACATAAGGAAATCTTTGGGGGATGTAAATAAGATGGAGAAAGGTGAAAATATACATGGTTAGGGCCCTTTGTTATAAGGATACATATATTAATATAATACCTTTCTTGTTTTCTTTCTTCTTGTCATCCTTAGTGTTACAACTTTTAAGACATGGCCACTAGTATAGCAATATTTCCCTGCATTATGCCAACACTTAATGATAAGTGAATATTCCAAATTGAATATCTGTTGAGTACCTAATGCGCGACAGACCCCTTCATATACACTCTTTCACTTAAGCCTCAAACTAACCCACATTTAACAGAAGAAGAAGCAAGGCTTAGAGAAATGAAAGGACTTATTAAGGAACATGATTCAGATTCGGTTCCATTTCATCTGACCTCAGATCCAGAATTCTTCATTGATATTCCACTCTATAGCTGAAACTATATAAGGAATAAATTCCTGACTCCTGATTGTCTGCAAGCCTATGAAACACACTTCCTGTTCTCTTCTGTACCTATGTTCACTGCTAATAAATTACCACAAGAGGTTAATGGTTCTGTCATTCTCTCCAACAAAGACTTGGTCATAGAGAATTGTTATTGCAGTGCAGCAAACTTTTGACATGTCTTGCAGGAATAGCTACAAATCATAACGATTTCCCTTCTCTGATTTTATTTCAGGCTTAATTTCTGTGATAAAAGTTGCCCCACTTTGCTGTTATTTCATTACAGCTTTGCACAGACCTGTGAGGCCTATTATATCCTAATTGAGTAGTTTAGGGGCGTCGGCTTGCTTGCCTGGGGAATGCTTTAATCTCAAGAAGGAAACACCTCTACAGTAAGAGGACTTGTTTCATTAGGTAAAGGAAGAGAGCACTGTCCATAGTGCCAAGTGCTGAAATAGCCAATTGCATTCAGCTTAAAAAGAAATATTTACTCAAAGCACTCTGCTCTCAAGATGCTGACAGCTATTTTCCTCAGCATTGAATGACACTGAGATTGTCTCTGGCTGAACTGAAACCTATTCTTTGCTGACATATTCCCTGAGAGTTGATGAAGTTAAGTTTGACATTTAAACAAATGAGCAGTGTCATTACTCACAGACAGCTTCCTGCTCTTTGATGTCACTCTTAAATTTGCAAAATGGATTACATTGAGAATTGATTTTTCCTCCCTCTGGCATATGTAATTCTATGCAGAGAGTAATAAGATGTCACCTTACTTTGTAAGATAAAAAGGCAACATTAGGTTTGAAGGTGAAATACCACAGTGTAGATAGCATATGTAATCTCTGACCCTTTGGGTCCATTCACTGTTTGCACTTGCATGTAACTGAATACTTGGAAAATCTCAATCTTACTGAATTTACAAATGTAACATACTGGTTAGAAGGCATGCCCCCCACTGCCCTTTTGTGAAGTCATATAACAGGATGACAAAGTCTTGATCATTCCCACGTTATTTTCTTTACTCAACAGTTCCTCTCTTTCATTATATGCCCTCTCCACTATCAGGTGCTTTTTTCTAGAGATAGAGAGCAGTTTCCTGAACAAAAAAGTGACAAAAGTCATTAAAAATAAGGCAAATACTCTGCTACACAGAATTTCACTAGTGTTGCATTCTAATAAAAAGTACATGTATGTGTAATTACAGAATTTAAGTCCTAGAAGACAAGGTGGGGCAGGGTTCTTTTTGAAAACAGTACTTTTCTCATAACTTTAAAATTATGCCCTGCAAAACCTATCCCCAAGTACATCTTGTACTAAATCCAAGTGGCTGCATTCAATTATTTAACCAGTATGCTTTGAGCAATATTATGTTTTTAAAATTAATGTGTTTTGGGGGAGAAAGCTCTTGGGGACACTCAAAGGAAAATATTTAATTTCCTGTTTGCTATTCTTTTGAGTTGAAACTGGATGGAGAGATAAGTTCTAGTCAGTTCAAACATTAAACTTTGGAGGAAGTGAGTAATTCTCTGCCTTTTTTACTTCTGCATTTAAAGATATCTTCATTTTTACCTGGAATGCTTTTATTTCTCCTGTTGTTGTTTCCATATGAAAAATGAGGAGAATATTCAACAAATGACATGAGTTCACCTATGCTTTTTGCTTCTTGTGTGACCATTAACAAGTTACTAACCTCTCCAAATCTGTTCTTTCCAACTTAAAATTAAGGCTGATAATATCTGCCTTATAGAAATCTGATGAGGCTATAATATATAGATATCCTGTATGTAGATATATAGAGAGGAATATATATGTGTATATGTGTGTGTGTGTGTGTGTATGTAGGTATGTATGCATGTATACATACTAAATATATGTGTATATTGTATATGTTTTCTCAACTCACAGTAAACACTAAATGCTGTTTTGTATGACTTCATTCTAACTGTTGAATATAAGCCACTTTCTATCTCTCTGTCTGTGGTTCTGTAGCTCTTTATGGCCTCTGTTCTAGCCTTTTTCTGAATTGAATGTTTTACTAAAAGATAGTAAAATTGATCTTGCCTTTTCTCAATTGAGTATTTTGCTAACTAAAATCAAGTTGGCCCATGTTACTCTCTTTTGTCACACCAGCTCTAACAGGTGCTTCATGCCTTTGTACTGAGTACTTAACATTGCTTTCCCACCTCTCTGTGAAAGTCATTCCTATCATGATATTTTTTTCCTCTGACACACACACAGTTTCAGTGTGCCTGCACTGCATCCCATTCACAGAGATTTGCATTGTTGGTGGGTTGGTCTACCACTGTTAATGTTTTAAGCAGCACCCACATACACACAAATGCACACTGGCAATAATATGTTGGCTTAGCTCAGTTAAAGCACACTGCCTATTAAGGATTTACCCAATAACAGTTAACCTAAGTTCAGTGGATGGGATAGGAAGAATGTCTGTAATAGGATTCCTTCTTACAGAGCTAATCTTATGCCCTGATTTTGGAAGTGGCAGTTACAGGTTCTCACTACTCCTCAGTCTAAGAAACACTTCTTTGATGGCTCTCCTAATCCCCAGTTCAGATCTGTCAGTATGTGCAAACCCACCCTTTCCTATGCAGGAAGCAGAAAGAGAATAAAGATAATATATTACTCATGTCTTCCAGGACTCTGTAGAAGTCAAGAATAGTGACTGTAAAAGGTAATATGAATATACTCAATAAACTTTAAATGTGTGTTTTTAGTTACAGAGTGCAAAACATGCTTAGCTGAATAAGAATTAAAGTGATGCCTCCACATTTTTAGTAAAATCACAACCACTTAGTTTTACTGGGTAAAATAAATTGTGCTTTCGAGTTGCACAAAAGCTCAGTGATAATTTTTTAAATGTCTGTCTTAAATATAATAGCAACAATTACCATGAACAGACACTAATTAGATAACATGTGCTACTGATCATTTGAATGTAATGGACTCTTTCTATAGTTGAAAAAACATGAGTAAAGTGTGATAATATAAATAATACCAATTTCCAAAAGAGGCCAAATCTGACATTCAAACACAAATGCCGTATTCCAGGTTTTTAATTTTATTAGGGCATACACATGTATTTTA